CCTGCTGTTAAGTATGCAGCTCAACAACGATGTAAGTAACAAGTTGAGAACGAGAACTCCAAAGATCACACAAGAGGACACACGACAAAATACAGTGGAGCACAGCTCCTTTTTAAACACTCCGGGGCTGGTGTAGCCACGCCCTTGCATAGTTAAGGTCCAATCATATTACATAGATAACAACCAATCCCTTTTGTTCCCTCCAGTACAGTTCTCTTACATTTGATGGGTTACAGTTGTTCATTAGCCAATGAGATTGTTCCAGATTAGAATCCTGGCTAAAGTTTCAAGCTTAACATTACTTGTCAATGGTAAAGACACAACACCTGCAGAGGCCATTTCAAAGGTTTTGGGGGGAATTCAGCCGTCCCTGAAGGGATTTTTTTAGTTTTTGGATTTTTCTACAAACCCAGGAAATCTACTGACTATGTAGGAAAAGCTGTTGTGGGAGAGTGAGCCCCCTGTTGGTGGAAATAAGTATCTGCACAGAAAAAAACCTCTGGTTAATAGAATAAGGATTATTATTAAGCACCACCTGAACTGTGAGGAAAGGTGGGATATATACCTCCAGGTCATTAAAAAAACCTGTATTTGTGTGCTCTTCCTACATATCCAGACTTGTTCCCTCTTGCAACAGCAGACACCTGGTGGGCTTGTCTAGATGGAGAGGGGTGTATATCCCTGGTCCTATTTCACACCCAAGGAATGTACCTGCTTATAAATTTAATATTTCTAGAGGCATCTTGTGACCCAACAAGCTTTTGTTGTTCAGTCGCACAGTCGAGTCAGACTCTTCGCGACCCCATGGACCAGCTCCTGCCAGGCCCTCCTGTCTTCCGCCGTCCTCTGAAGTTTGCTCAATTTCATGTTAGTTGCATCTATGACACTGTCTAACCATCTCATCCTTTGCCGTCCCTGTCTTCTTTGACCTTCAATCTTTCCCAGCATCAGGGTCTTCTCCAGTGAGTGCTCCCTTCTCATTTGGTGGCCAAAGTATTTGAGCTTCAGTTTCATTATCTGGCCTTCCAGGGAACAGTCAGGGTTGATTTCTTTTAGGATTGACTGATTTGATCTTCTTGCAGTCCAAGGGACTCTCAAGAGTCTTATTCAAATGAGCTTGCAGGTCAAATCTCCCACCCAAGATTTTTTGCAGCAAAGTGCCCATATCAACATTACCCTAAGTCACAGTGCTGGCAGTTCTGGGTTGAAAAATTCCCAGAGATTTGGGAGTAGTGGCTGGAGAGGAAAAGAGATTGGATTTATACCCCACCCTTCACTACCCAAAGGAGCTCAGTAATGCCTCCAAAGCTGCCACCCATTTTCTCCAGAGGACCTGATGTCTGTAATTTGGAGACCACCTGTAATCCCAGAACTCCAGCCCTCACTTGGAAATTGACAACCCTACCAAGGTCTGTACTTCTGGATCAGAGATACTGTCCTAAATGCAAAAGTAATAAGCTGGCACACAGGGTTCTCCCCGAGTTTTTTAGCCTCTCTGGCTCACACTTTTCTGCCTCAGCTCAGGAAGGAGGGCTCCGGAGCAAAGTAATTTATGCAGCAGCCAAATTGCTCGCTCACAGTTTAAATGCTAGTAGCTCACAAAGTAGAATTTTTTGCTCACAAAACTCCACAGCTTAGAGGGGAGCATCCCGTGTCAATGACTTTTCCTGGCCCCTAAACTCTTTGCAAACACTTTGTAAACATAGCTCAGGATTGTTCCCCACCCTTCTCCTGTCCCCTGCAAGATTCCTGTGCCTTTAGCAACTGCACAGACCCCGCTTACGAGGCGCAGGGTCCAACCCTGCGGTTAGAAGCCCCCTCCCCAACATTCTAATCACACAGTTGATGCCTGAAGCAGATCCCTGCAGAGGCTATTTCAAAGGTTTTGGGGGGAATTCAGCAGTCCCTGAAGGGATTTTTTTAGTTTTTGGATTTTTCTACAAACCCAGGAAATCTACTGACTATGTAGGAAAAGCTGTTGTGGGAGAGTGAGCCCCCTGTTGGTGGAAATAAGTATCCACACAGAAAAAAATAACTCTGGCTAATAGAATAAGGATTATTATTAAACACCACCTGAACTGTGAGGAAAGGTGGGATATATACCTCCAGGTCATAACCCCCCCCCCCATTTGTGTGCTCTTCCTACCTATCTAGACTTGTTCCCTCTTGCAACAGGCGACACCTGGTGGGCTTGTCTAGATGGAGAGAGGTGTATATCCCTGGTCCTATTTCACACCCGGAGATTTGGGAGCAGCGGCTTGAGAGAAGAAGAGGAGAAGAAGAGAAGAGCTTGGATTTCACTACCCAAAGGAGCTACCACCCATTTTCTCCAGAGGACCTGATGTCTGTAACTTGGAGAGCACCTGTAATCCCAGGAGAACTCCAGCACCCACCTGGAGATTGACAACCCTACCAAGATCTGTACTTCTGGATCAGAGATACTGTCATAAATGCAAAAGCAATAAGTTGGCACACAGGGTTCTCCCCGAGTTTTTTAGCCTCTGGCTCACACATTTTTGTCTTAGCTCAGAAACGAGGGCTCCGGAGCAAACTAATTTATGCAGCAGCCAAATTGTTCGCCCACAGTTTAAATGCGAGTAGCTCACAAAGTAGAATTTTTGCTCACAAGACTCCACAGCTTAGAGGAGAGCATCCCGTGTCAATGACTTTTCCTGGCCCCTAAACTCTTTGCAAACACTTTGTAAACATAGCTCAGGATTGTTCCCCACCCTTCTCCTGTCCCCTGCAAGATTCCTGTGCCTTTAGCAACTGCACAGACCCCGCTTACGAGACGCAAAATCCAATCCTGGAGGCACTCACCGCCCCGCCACGGGCGTCTGAAACCTTGGGCAGGCTGGGCGGTGTATTTAAGCACTCGAGTGGCTGTCGTCACTTCCTCTTCCTGCTTTGCATCAGGCTCCCTTGCAGGATCTGGGCTGGGTAGAGTAGGGTTTTTGACACAAAGGCTTCTCCCTTCGCTGGTCTGTCGGTCGGGCTGCATGGCCTTAAATCGGCGGTGGCAGGACCTGCTGGGCAGAGACGCGGGAATGCGGTTTTCTCTCCGCCAGCGGAAGGGAGCATTTCGGCGCAGCTCGTCGCGGGGCTTTCAAACGCCGCTATGAATCCGGGGCGGTCTCGATATCGTTTGCGGGAGCGGAGGCCGCGGGGATTGTGTCGCGATGCTTCGAGCCCGGAGTAAGTTTGCAGATACCTCCGAGGGGAGCTGGTGTGCGCGGGGGAGGGCACCGAGGAAAACCCAAAGAGAGAGCATTGGAGGCTGGGGTTTAACCCGTGGGCGTGGCGTTCTGGTTCCACCACTGGGTATCTCCTCTGAGGACCGTTAGTTGTATCTGAGCCGGTTTTGGGCTGCAACCTGCATGAATGAAGCTGCTTTGGACTGAGTTAGACCACTGGTCTATCGAGATCAGCATTGCCTGCTCTGACTGGCAGCAGCTCTCCAGGGTTGCTGCCTGATCCTTGTTGACTAGAGATGCTGAGGATGTTTTGGCTTTGGTGCACTTCTTGGAAGATCGGTTTGTTTCGGTGGAACTGGCACCCGGTTAATGTGGACCCGCGGGGGAAGCTTGGAATGAAATGTGTTTGCCTCCTCGTGTATTTCTTTTGCCCATTGCGCCTTCACCCCTGGAAGCAAGTTTGAGGAAAACTGGAATGGGTCTTATTGAGTGAGTTTGCTTTAGGTACTGGAGATTTTCGCGCCTTCACCCCTGGAAGCAAGTTTGAGGGAAACTGGAATGGGTCTTATTGAATTTGAGTTTGCTTTAGGTAGTGGAGATTTTCTGTCTGCAGTAGCTGCTGGTGATTCCTGTTGATGATCAAAGTAAGGCTGGTGCTTGGTGACACACGTTTCAGTGGTCACGTGGCTGGCATGACTAAACACCAAGGTGCACGGAACGCTGCTACCTTCCCACCGAAGTGGTCCCTATTTATCTACTTGCAATTTCTTGCTTTCGAGCTGCTAGGTTGGCAGGAGCTGGAACTAGAGACAAGAGCTCACCCCGTCTTGCAGCACCCGGGTCTTGAACTGCTGAACTACCGACCTTCCACAGCCTGCAGTTCAGCGTTTTAACCACTTGAGCCACCCAGCTGTTGATGATCAAAGTAAAGCTGGTGTTTGGTGACACCTTCGTCTTTAAGGTGCTACTGGTCTCCTATTTTATTTTGCTGCTACAGATTAATATGGCTGCCTATCTGGGATATAGGGTTGCCAGGTCCCCCCTGGTTTGGGGGTGTGTGAGGTTGCTAGATCCAGGTTGGGAAACTCCTGGAGATTTGGGGATGGAGGCTGGGAAGGATAGGGACTTCAGTGGGGTACAGTGCCATACAGTCCACTCTCCAAAGCACATATTTTTTCCTGGGGAACTGATCTCTGCAGTCTGGAGATGAGCTGTAGTTTTGGGGGATCTCCAGGTCCCACCTGGAGGCTGGCATCCCTAGATTGGCATAGTATTGTGTATAAGAACCCCCAGTGTTACACTCTCTTGCTCGCCTTACATTCGGAAAGGGTTTGTAGCAGTATTCAGCTCTGTAGCTTCTGCTCACAGCCTGCAGATCCAGTGATCAATTTTTGAGCAACGTAACAGCAACTGTTGAGTGTCTTATTTATGTTATTTAAGCAATATCCCCATGGCTGCTATGTGAAGTATTTTAGGCTAAGAGACAATGAGTGAGCCTAGATCTCCCAGTGTTATGTTTGGTGGCTTTGAAGATTTGAATCTGGGTTTCCACCGTCCTTATCCATCGTGGTTAATTGCTATGGTGGGTAATCTGCAGGTTTGTTTTGTTGTTTTTAATTGTGCTGTTTTACTTGTGAACTGCAAGCTACCAGGAGGAAAAGTGGGATATAAATACTAAATAAATAAATGTGTCACTGTAACCTAGGACCTTTTAGGTGTGCTTCTGAGAGAGACAGCATGGCGTAGTGGCTAGAGTGTTGGACTAAGATCTGGGAGAAGGTTCGAATACCCACTCATGCTGTGTAAACTTGCTGGGTGATCTTGGGCCAGTCACACATTCTCAGCCTAGTCTACCTTACAGGGTTGTTGTGAGGATAAAACAGAGAGAGAATGATATAAGATGTTTTGGGTCCCCATTGGGGTGAAAGGTGGGATATAAATGAATTAAAATTTCACAAGTTCTTCGTTCAGGCACAATGCAAATGGGGAGTTGTACCAGCTCAAGCAAGAGAAAAATCCACCCCTGCATGTCATGGGGAACATCTCTTCTCAAGGGCTGCTTCCGGTTCAGTTCTGAAGTTCTGTAAATCTGACTTCTATGTAGAATCTGCTTTAATAGGAATTTTGCATTCATGGCTATAAACTGAGTCCCTAGACCTTGAAAAGCTGTTTGAAATCAGGTCCCCCCCCCCCTTTGTGCAATTAAAGTGTGCCGATGAAGAGTATTTAAATATATTAAAGTGCCTGATTTATTCCAAAATCCTGGTTTGTTCTTCAGTGATGCAGGATTTGGATTTCATTTTGCACAGTGTATGTTCAGCTTGGAATATGATGTGCGAGCATATTGATGAATTGGTGAAGCACTACTTGATATCTTTAAGGTGTTACTTAAGCTGAAACAAAGAAATGTTGGGAAAATAGGCTCCAGACTTGGAGAATGTGCTACAAAATTAACTGAAATGTTCTCCTGAGCTCCTTTCTAGAAGCTGATAAAACAACCAGGGTTGTTGTCAGCTGTTGATTGTGCTTACTGTCCTTGGTTCTTGGGGGGGGGGGGCCGGGTGGTCTACTAGGTTTCAACCCTGCCTCTTCACTCTTTCAGCAAACATCCACAGTCCTGACTTAATCGTCAACCCTTATTCTTTCAGATCAGACAGCGAGAACAGCCTGTTGGACAGAATCAGGCCCTCCTATATGAAGCCTTGGATTGTGGATCTTCTGTTGGAGTACAGTGGGTCAGAAGACAAGCTAGAAGCACAATTTGGGCACGTCTTAAAGGTGGGTTAAAGGGTCTTCCTGAGCTGTGATGATGGAAGTCTTTATCAAAACACAGAGAGACTTGTCTCCTTTCCACATCCAATGGGTGATCCTGTGACATTGGCGTAACTGGTTTTTCTAGCCATGTGGGGGGGGGGAGCAAGGATCCAGTCAGCTTCTCTGAGTACTGAGGAGATTTTCTGCTTTAGCACAAAGTTTGTTGACGCTTGTGTTTGCAATAATAAGTGGTCCTTGCTCTCTCCTGTCTTGTTTTTGTTTTACTGAGGCCTAGAATGCAGAACGATTTGCCCAGAGCCGAACTGTATGGTTTCCTGATCATTCCAAGAAGTAGGTAGCAATACAACCTTCAACATGTGGATTAACAAAGCCCTTCTGAGGCTTCCCAGACATACTGCCCATTAAAAATTTTTCTCCTTCTCTCTGTTTTTCTCAACCAGTTTCTGCTCTTTAGTTTACTTCCTGTTTACTGGGTACCACAGTTTTACTGCTTATTGGTGACGTATGGAACAGCTCAGGCTTTTCATGGTTGTGAAGAGGTTTTCCCTATTTGTTAGCTATGCTGCCATCGTATGTGGGGTGGGGGAGTCTGTAAAGTGAACATCTTTTCTCCTGGAATGTTGGTTTCACTTTTTTCACTTGGCTTTATCTTGCTGCCTGACCTTGATGCTTAGCGCTGGCCTCCCTGGGAACCTGTGGTCGTTACGGCGCAAAGCTTGCACCTCTGATTGGGTTAACGCCATGAGGGGCCCCCCTTCAAACGTAGTATATCTTCCCCTCTCCCGCCTGTTGGGTTAGCCTTTACACAGAATGTATGCACAGACGACCTGCTTCTGTTGAACTCAATAAACTTGATCCTTTTGAAGGAACGTTGTTGAGCCTGAGTTTGTGGGACTCTGACACTATCCCTCCTGGAAAACGAATTGCTTAAGGATTCATTTAAGAAGGCCACTTGAATGAGCAGGAAATAATGATTTCAGCACAAAGAAGCAGCTGCTATAGAACAAGTAGCGTGGTTTAAGGGGGCATCGCAGGGAGGCGTGGAACCTTTGCTAAACAAGGCTCGCTCTTAAGGAAGTATAATATTAGGATCTTGCACATTACTGGCTTTTATGGGGGAGCGTTGCACCATATTAATTGCTATGTGGAACCACCGATTCTGCTTGCAGCTGATACGAACCACTCAAAGGCTGTAGTACAGAAACAGTTAAAGCTTAGTTGTCTGGGCTACATGGTAAATTTCAGGCCTGTTTGAGATTTTGGAAAGAATATCCCGTATAGCAGTGGTTCTCAACCTTTCATATCTTTCTGTCAGGAAAAAAGACTGGGTTCCACTTATTCTGAGAAGGACTTTTATATATTAATAGGCATTCTGTTCTTAATGCTAGCATGCCAAAAGTTCACGGAAGGTTGGAGATGGCAGACTGCATCTGCAGGTGGACCCGGGGGGTTGAGAGAGATCAGATTCCTCATCATTGTTATGAAAACCCTGCATCCAACCAGTAGTACATGTACCACCACTGTCCTATAGCACAGTGGTGGCGAACCTATGGCAGGCGTGCCAGAGGTGGCACTCAGAGCCCTCTCAGTGGGCACGCGTGCCATCACCCCAGCGTGCCATCACCCCAGCAAAGCCCAGACCGTCATTAAAGTGTGGAATTCTCTGCCAAATAATTTTAAGTAAATGAAAGCATTTGGGATTGCTTTCCTTACTTTGTTTGGATCATCTTATGTTAATGTATGAGTTGTTTTTTTCTAAAGTAAAACCTCAGTATTCAGGTTAAATGGCCGTGTTGGCACTTTGCGATAAATAAGTGGGTTTTGGGTTGCAGTTTGGGCACTCGGTCTCTAAAAGGTTCACCATCACTGCTATAGCATCTCCAAATTCAGGAGTCTTATATATGCCTCCTTTTCCTAAACAGAGAACTGGGTTTCTCTGCATTTGGGTCCCTGTTTCTCGTGATGTGTGCTGGAACTGCCTGACCTTATTTCTGTCATATTCCAAAATTTTCCCACTAGGTTTTGAATGAGGCAAGCCCTCACCGTCAAGATGGGCAGGACTCCACAGCTGTTGTGTACATTGCGGATGGGCGTCACTACATCCACACGGTTGTTCCAGCTACGGCCATTGAGACGGCAAAAGGGTGAGTGTCAGCTTGGCTTTGGGTTCTCAAGAAACATAGAAAAGGTTCTGTGGTCTGCTGACTATCTGGTTGCTAGGTTGTTATTCAGGAGGTTATTTATTATTAGGAGGTTCTTGGGTTATTATTTAACTTCATTCATTGTTGGTCATCAAGTCACAGCCAACTCATGGCAACCCCGTAGGGTTTGCAATGCAGGAGACGAAGGGAGGTAGTTTGCCACTGCCTGCCTCTGCATAGCAACCGTGGATTTCTCTGATGGTCTCCCATCCTTTCCAGATCTGATGAGACCAGGGCAGCCTTAGGCCATCCAGGTCAAGGTGTCATTCATTGTTCAGTTGTTGTTATTAACCTTCTCAGTGAGGCTCTAGGCCAGTTACTGTCAGCAAAGCCTCTGTCTAGCCCTGCTGCCATGGGGTGAGATGACTCTGGAATGTTAACTTTCGTTTCTTCTGTGCCTTCACTGTTATTCTTATCTCTGCTTGACTTTCAGTGCCTGGTGTAGTGTTTCTCCTGGGAATTATTGTCTGTCAGTTTGGCGGGCTCATATCTAGCCCCTCATTGGCCCTTGGCCATCGGGGGTCTCCTTGAATTATGTATAACTGTTTGCTTCGTGCACTTTTAGCCAGTTCTAACACAAGATGTCTGTGGCATTTGCAAACTATCAAATGTCTCAATAAACTTTACTTCTTTGAATGAAAGCTGTTGGGAACTGATTGCTGCAGGGGCCCGACAGTTACAAAATATGAAAAGACGTTCAATGAGACAGCAAAGATTTACAGTAAGCAATGTCTTACGACTAGGTTTACAGAACTGGGAAAAACAATGCAAACAAGAAGCTAAGGCAACAAAAACTGTTTTAAGGCATGGCATACCATAGTAAGGAAAGGGGATTACGAAGGTGAAGGACATCGCAATAGAAGGGGAGGTGATATGTATGATCAACACTGCAATAGACTACAATACCTATTGAAGCAGCCTCCTGTACTGTTCCTTTGTTCTAGTCTAGTCCCTTGGTAAAAAAGCCCTCCTGAATATTTCTGCTTTGCACATTCTATGAAATGAGATAAGCGTGAGGGTTAGGTTAGGTGCTTTGGTGTTTGCAACAGCCTATGTTAAGGAGACTGGTACTTCTTGTCACTTGTGTTCTCAATACACACACTTCATTTTGCATTCCTCATTTGAGTTTTTGCACATCTTGGTATTATTTACTTTGAAAGACAGTAAAGAGCAATGTAGTGACAGAGAAAGACTAATGGGTAATATGCACAGAGGGCTATAGATGTGAGGGAGTATGTAGCCACTCAGGACACATAAACTCAAGCCTTACTCCTATGGCATTTTACAGACACAGCTTGCGTGTTTTTTTATAGAGATGAACATAACCGTTTTCTTTCCCCTCTCTCTCTTTCTCAGCTTTTCTCCACAGTCTGGGTTTTCCAGTATTCTTGGCCAGTTCATTGTCCTCCAGAATTTTAGGGTGTGCGTTAAAGAGGCAGCCAAAGCGGTAAGGCATAAGATACGCCATGTTTTTGTGTGTGACTTTTGAGAGAAAGTGCTGACTTACATGCTGTATACAATTTTGTGTTAGTGATTTTTGTTTCAGAAAATTTGGGTCCCCGAAATGGAATTTTGCTACAAGTCTTTGTCAACAAAGTAGGGGTGGTCAACTGGCCAGCAGTGGGGGTGGGGGTGGGGTGGGGGTAGGAATGGCCAAATCTGTATGTTTAACTTAATTTTGTTATGCAAAAATCCACAGATGAGACTTTCTCTTCCAGATGACTAATTGTTACAACCCACTAATTGTTACAGGTCAAATGGCCTGTGTGGGTAAACTATCATGTTGCGGGGGGGTGGCTGCAATGGGAAGGAGATACCCACTAATTGTTACAGGTCAAATGGCCTATGTGGGTAAACTATCATGTTATGGGGTGGTGGTGGCTGCAATGGGAAGGGGATGAAATCAGTTTGGTGTAGTGGTTAGGTGCGCAGACTCTAATCTGGAAGAACCGGGTTTGATTCCCTACTCCTCCACTTGCACCCTGCTGGGACAGCTCCCATAGTTCTGGCACAGCTGTTCTTGAAAAAGACCAGTTTCTGTCAAGAGCTCTCTCAGCCCCACCTACCTCACAGGGTGTCTGTTGTGGGAAGGGGAAGGGGAAGGAGTTTGTAAGCCTCTCTGAGACTCCTTTGGGAAGTGAAGGGCGGGGTATAAATCCAATCTCCTCCTCTTCCTCCATCTAGAGCAGCTCAGCTGATGGGGGGAGAATGGGTTTGGCTTTGTTCCTCAGTGCAGGCCCAACTCAGGAGGCTGTTGTCCATGTGAGTCCTGTAACCCCAGGAATCGTTGTTGTGACCAAAAGGAAGGTTGCCAACCTCCAGGTGGTGGCTGGAGTTCTCCTACTATTTCACCTGATCTCCAAGATCAGTTCTCCTTAGAGAATGGCCACTGTGGAAGGTAGATGTTATGGCATTATACCCTCTTGAAGTCCCTTCCCTCCCCAAACTCTGACCTCCTCAGGCTCCACCTCCAAAAATATCTACTTCCCAACCCAGAGCTGGCAAACCTACCAAAAGGGAGAGGGAGAAAAATCTGCATTCATGGGTGCATTCTTCTGACAGATTGCTGCATCCAAGTGTTTGGAATTAAAGGTCTGAGTAGGAATTAAAAAAAACAACGCCCACTCAGGGGGCTGAGTTAGGGAAAGTATACTGCATGGGATTTTCTGGGCTAGGGAAGGCCTGCCCGTCTGCTATCTCCATGTTGTGAAACTCTTTCCTTGTCCTTAAATGTCCATGACTGGCTGTTTCTCTGCATAGGTTGTGTCTAACTAGTATGTTTAAAATTAATGTTCGTATTGGGCATGGGATGGGTATTGGTTTGGGCAGAGGAGGTATTAAGGAGGGCGTGCTACTAGTTCATATCTGCAAGGGCTTTATTCTGTCGAAGGAAGATGTATTGTGTTATATACACCATAAAATCTTTTTCTTATGACAGAAGAATTACACCTTAATGTCCTTCAGAGGCCAGACCAAACATTTATTTATTTACTTACATAGGCTTTTAACTGAAGGGATTCTTTTTTTAGCTGTTTTATGGCCTGCTTGTAGCTTGTTTATGGATATCATTTTAGACTGGTGGATGTTCTACACTGTTTTTAATGGCTTGTTTTGCTTCTTTATGCCGGTGATGTTTTAATATTGATATTGTTTTTATGATCTGATTGTGTTTTTACTATCTGAGCTCCTTCAAGGAGTTGTGAAGAAGTGGCATATAAATTTTCTTAATATATATTAAAGCCACTGTGGTATACATGTTAAGAGTGTCAGACTAGGATCTAGAAAACCTGTTATTACTCTTCTATGGAAGCTTGCTGGGTGACTTTGAGTCAATCGTTTTCTCCCGGCCGAACCAATGTCACTTGTTGTGAGGATAAGATGAAGAAGGGGAGAATGATGTATTCTGATTTGGACACTTGTTGGAGAGAAATGCAGGGTATAAATGTATAAATAAATATTTTGTTTTAATAAGCTATTACTTTAAAAAATCAGGCTGGAAAAAAAGGATTTTTACAGTCTTGCGAGTGTTAAGTGTTGTCAAATCACTTCTGGTTCACAGCGACCCCTATGAATTAATGTCTTCCAAAACATCTTATTGTTAACACACTTGCTTAGGTCTTGCAAACTGAGGGCCATGGCTTCCTTTCTGGAGTCAGTCCATCTCATTTTAGTATTTAAATAGTAATGTATTAGAACACTTGCTTCACTCAGTTTAGATATTTCTACAACATTTGGGCAATATAATTATAAGAGACCTAATAAAACTTGAAATGTTAAGTCTGGATACTAAGGTGCTCAAGAGAAATATATTACTAACTGCAAATGTGGAATTTGGGCATAATAATATTTGAGCAAAACTGAGAGGATCTTCACAGAAACTCTTTGGTTTTATCCTCAGCAATGGGCTGCTGTTTATTTAGGAACTAATTTAAACGGGAATTTTTAATAACGTTCTCTGTAGGTGGCATCTGATACCATCCAGTCTAATTTATCAAAGATGGTTAGAAACATGGGGAATTGAGAGATTATTTTTAGTGTTGCAGGCAGAATTTAAAAAGGAAAAGATTTGTGCATGCAATCGGGAATGTCTTAATCAGTTGATAATCTTGTGGGGGCAGAGTAGAAAAAAGGGAGTTCTAGAAATGACTGAATTGTGTTAGCTGTGATATACATCATTTTTCAAAGGAAATATTTGGAGCCCCTGTAGTCCATAATTATTCAGAGCATTCCTAGATCTCGTTTAACAATGTTGCTAATACACTAGAAAGACAAGAGGCAGCTTTCAGTCAAAAAGACTCATTTGTCATGCTTATTTTATTAATAGTGCCTGGCCTTTTTAGTAAATAGGATTCCCAATAGCAGTTTGGGGAAATTCCTGGAGGTTTGGGAGAAGCGCGTGGGAGAGTAGAGTTTGGGAAGGCACTTGGCAGGCATGAAATGCCACTGAGTCTGCCCTCTGAAGCTTCCATGTCCTCCTGAGGGACTGATCTTTGTAGTCTGGAGATCATTTGTGATTTTAAGAGAACTTCAGGCCTGACCAGGAGGTTGGTAACCCTCAGGGTGATTTGGCCTGCTGAGGTCTAGTAGGCCGGCCCATGTAAGAAATTCTCCGCCCCCCACCCCCCCTTTGTCTGCTGTAGAAGGCGACACAAGCCAGGCCTGTGGTAGGAAAAGGCTGGTATGACCTGGGCCTAGACCAGGAGCCCAGAAAGAAGGTGGCGAGGCAGGCCTGGGACGGAAGGGCGCTTAGATTTCCTGACCAAAAAAATTGGCGGGAAAATTTTTGACGGCTTCACTTGGTTTCCAAGTAGTGGCGCTTGTGCGTGTGTGGGAGTGAGGGACTGTGTGTCATTTCAGACTCCTCAGGGGATGTCCTAGGACCACAAGTCAGTGTGAGGGGCTTGTGTTTCTCAGCTTTTCCAGATAACAAGGCATTCTCCAGGGCAGACCTCTGCCTTTCTCTGAACTGTCAGAGGTCGTGAGTGGCTGCCATTTTTGAGCTGCTTGTGGGGTGATTCTTCTTTTCAAACTTTTTAAACTTTGTTCTGTTGCTTCAGACCAACACAGCTACCCACCTGAATCTATCCTGTTTGATGTAGTGGTTAAGTGTGCGGACTCTAATCTGGGAGAACCGGGTCTGATTCCCCACTCCTCCACTTGCACCTGCTGATGTGACCTTGAGTCAGTCACAAGCTCTGGCACAGCTGTCCTTGAAAAACAGCAGTTTGTGTCAGAGTTCTCTCAGCCCCACCTCCCTCACAGGGTGTCCGTTGTGGGGAGGGGAAGGGAAAGGAGTTTGTAAGCCGCTCTGAGACTCCAAGTGAAGGGCGGGGTATAAATCCAATCTCTTCTTCTTCATAATAATAATCATGACAAAATTGGCCTTGTGGAAGTACACTTCCATGGGAAAGCAGTAGGGATGCCAGCCTCCAGGTGGGACCTGGGGATCCTCCGGAATTACACCTTGTTGCCAGAGTACAGAGATCAGTTCCCCTGGTGAAACATGGATGCTTTCTTTGGAGGGTGGACTCTGTGGCACTGTACCCCACTGAGGTCCCTGTCCCCCCCAGGCTCCATCCCCGAATCTCCAGGAGTTTCCCACCCTGGACCTGGCAACCCTCACCCTCCCCATCCCCCACTGGTGGCCGGGGGGGACCTGGCAGCTCTAGAAATTAGTTAGTTATATGCATCCTAAAAATATAATTTCCCCACCTTTATTTTGATTTTTGATAAAATCTGAGGAATGAGCCTCCCTTTTATACAAAGAAGGACTTAATGCATGGAGGACTGTCTTCTTCCCTTCTCCTGTTATCTCTGCCTGAGGGAGAATTCTCCAAGGCCCCGTCATTCTTACTTTTGATGAAGGGAACATCCCAGGCTGAGAAAATATCTCTGTCAGTTGCAGTGTTCCATCTAAACTGTGGAGTCCTGTGAGCAAAAATTCTACTTTGTGAGCGACTGGCATTAAAGTTGTGAGCGAGCGATTTGGCTACTGTATAGATTAGTTTGCTCTGGAGCCATCCTTCCTGCGCTAAGACAAAAATGTGTGAGCCGGAGGCTAAAAAACTGTGAGCTAGCTCACACTAACTCAGCTTAGAGGGAACACTGGTCAGTTGTCATATTTAGGGCTGAGCCCTCATCTGGGCATGGCCTGCCTAACTGTGCCTTTCTTTCACTTTCAGGAGAACAGTGGATTCTACTTCAAACTTGATTGCTTCAGTGTCACAAACATGAATAGATGTGCAACAAGGCAGCAGGACTGGTATAATAACTTTTCTGTGCTCTGTTATAGAGTCGGTAAAGGGGAGAGCCTAGTGCAAAACACAGATAGTTTCTAAGAAACCTGCATGTATTTTTACCTCAGAGTTTAGTAGGGTTACCAGCTCTGGGTTGGGAAATACCTGGAGATTTGGGGGGTGAAGGCTGGGGAAGGTGGGGTTTGGGGAGGGCAGGTATTTCAGCAGGGTACAATGCCATAGAGTCCATCTTCCAAATCAGTCAGTTTCTCCAGGGCAACTGATCGTGGTCACCTGGAGATCAATTATAATAGTGGGTGGTCTCCAGGTGCCACCTGGAGGTTGACAAACTTAGAGTTAAACCAGGCCAGGTCTCAGAATGAATTCTGTAAGATCTTGGAGGAATTTCAGACAGCCCATATATTCCATTTCAGGATCTGTTCACTAACGGTTTCTGTCTGTCATTTCAGACAGAACCGTTTTAGTAACTGTTCCCTGACGGAATATATTTACCTGTTCATACAGAAACGCTTCTGTTCCATTCGGGAAGCGTGCCTGAAGCATTGCTCACTCATACTGCTTCCAGCCGGTCTTTAATCCCTTCTACCGCTTCTGAAGTGCTATGGGGTGCTGTCTAAAATGCCCCTGTCACGCTTCCTGCGATGACAGTTCTTTTCCCATCCTTTTTCTCCCCACACGCAATCGTTCTTTCTTTTTTTAATGTTCTGTTGGGAGCGCTATGGCGCTGCAGCAGGACTACAAATCAGTGCCTTAGCAACCCCATTGGGATCCATGGACTCCATTTAAATACACTGACATTCGCTACTGCATCTCAGCATGGATTTTAAAAGGTAATTTTGGGGCAGACGTTGTATTTATCAGGTCTATTTAAAGATTAAATCACTGAAAATAGCAATAAGCACAAGCATACCAGCACAGCATGAAGAAGGAAGAGGGGCTTTACTAGTTTGGGCTTTGATGAATTAAAAAGCACCTGCTACCTGGGTTTCAAAACTGTCTGGTTTCTCCCCCCCTCCCCCAATTGTGCTTGAATTCTGTATCCAGTGAGCTCCTTGTCTTCAGGGGACAGCAGTAGCGAATGTCAGTGTATTTAAATGGAGTCCAGGCATCTCAATGGGGTCGCTATGGCGCTGATTTGTAGTCCTGATTCAGCGCCATAGGGCTCCTAATAAAACGTTTTTAAAAAAACCCAAACCCTGTCAGGGAGATCGTGCACGCAGTAGGGAAATAGCAGGAAAAGAAAGTGGCGCAGTTTGAAATGCCAAACCGCTTCAGAGACGGCTCCTTACCGGAAGGGAAAGGCTGTGTGAAACGGCCATCCCTGTACCGGTTTATTCCATGAAGGTACAATACCGGTTTTAAAAGGGTAATGTGAAATCCCCCCTTATCAAACAGTATGCTCATATTACCTTTTTGCATAGTATGGTAACTTTGTTGGCCTATAAAGGAGACAAAAGTTTTGGAAGAGACAGGTGAATTGAGTGGTCAGTGCACCTGGAGACTGACAACAGTTTTTGAGAGGGAGATTTTGCTTCCCATGATGTTTATACACATACCTCTGCATTTATTCCAATGGTGCCACTGGTAAGACAGGCTTTTCTGGTCTTTGTGGCGTTTTTAATTGTTTTAGTTGGATGTTGCCATAGGGGGGTTGCAGCAAGTTCACGATGTTGAGGGAGGGGCTGTTAACCCTTCCCTCTGTGTAGCCCCTCCCATTTACCCAAAAGTGGAAAACATACCGGCACTATATAATCACCATGCATGTTTCCTCTTTGAGGGGCACATTGTTGTAAGTAAATAAAATCAAATGGGTGCATTAGGATGGTAGTCTTAAATTTTACACTCAATAGTTTCAAAGTCTACAACCAAAAAAATAAGTAAATTATGTAATTGGAGAAAAAAGCATAACTTGTATGAATACCTTGTAGCTGTACATTTATAAGGGGCTTGCAGAGTTTGAATAGAAGTGCTGCTTCCTTGCCTATGGTGGGACAGATGGAAATTGTACTGAAGGCAAAATTCCTATCCCTTGACTTAGCTTCAGTTTGTTACTGGAAATTATCTGTATGAATTTGAGGTCGTCCCCCCAAGATACTAATTGGATGGCAGAGGAAGGATTCTCAGATTTCAGTAGCTCTAAGTTCTTAACCACCACTATAGAGTAAAAACATCCTGCCATTTTTATTTATTTATTTATTTCAATTGAGAGAGATTACAGTCAAACAGACTTCTGGACATCTTCCTTAGTAATTTTCTGTTTGAAAAGTGTCACTGACTGAGTACAGGTTGACCCTGCTGGGCAACTATTTTATCATCTGAAAACCTTGACTATGGTGAATAACTGGGGATGTTAAAGTGTTTTCCTTTTTACAGCAATCGGGAGCCATCAGTGCTGCAAAAGATAAAGGAGCTGTGGCTGTAAGTACATCGTTCAGTTATTGCTCATTTCTACTTAGTTCTGTGAGTTGCCTTCCCACAGTCCTATTCAACCCTTTCAGCCCAGAACTCACCTCTAACTGCACCTTACTTTGTGGGATCAACTAACTGTTCACCCACACTTGTCAATTTTTCTGCTTTTCTCTGCTGAGCGGCCAGATGTAAGGGAAGACAGAGCTCCTGTATCTTAGATAGATGCACCTTGTCAGGTAGAGGTGAGAGAAGAAATTCCCTCTTTTGGCATAACTATTAAAGATACAGGAGTCCTGTCCTCCTTTGCCTCTTGTCACCCTCTTTTAGCCTTTCTCTTGAAAAGAAATAACAGGCCCCTAATAGAAAATAATGGGGATGTTCCTGCTGTCGCTTTAGGTGGGGTGCAGTCAATTTGTGCGTCCTGACTCACCAGCTGAGGACTAGTCCCTTGAAGTCTAATCAGAAGGAATATAGGACTTATAATTGGCTTGTGGGACATAGGTTATTGAAGGATGAAAGCCTGTGTGGTGTGGATGGATTGGAACTGGAGAGACCTAAATTCTAATCCCAACTCAGCCATGAAGTTCGTTGGGTAACATTGGGTGATTTGCTATCTCTCAGTGTAATCGATCTTGAAGGACTATTGTCGGGATAAAACAAAATAATCCTTCTGTATATATTAACCTGAGCTCTTTGGAGGGAGGGTAGTGCCGCAAATGAAAGGCAAATCGTAGTTACTAGACCATTATACTTAAGGCTGTATACAGAAAACTTTTCACTGGATGGTTTTACTGTAATTGCCTAAAATTTATATATGCATTTCTTCTGCTCCATTATCTGAAATATGATGCTTGTAGGGGAACAGAATTCCTTGTGATGCTAGTCCAGGAAGTTTGTAAACCAAGCAGGATATTAATAAAGATTATGTGTATCACTAACTATTTCCAGGCGGTCCTGGCAGACATTTTGAGATAGGCAGCTGGTCCAGAGACATTGTAAATATCCCTTCCTTGTGCAGACTGAGATACAATAAGGTTCTTAGATTTTATGTATTTGTATTATCTATAGTCTCACTGAGGCCCAAGGCAGATTACACTGTATAAATCAGTGTAGTCCATGGGATGAGACATCTAGTAAGCAATGTAATATTTTAGGTGCAGAAATTAAAACCAAGTTTTAAAAAAAACTGGAACAAAGTAGAAACAAGGTATAAGTATGAGCATGGCATATTAAACAATGCAGAAATTATGTAATAGAAATCAGAGGGAGGTGGAATAGATGTGTGTGGGAGATTTGGAGGGGAGGGGGACAGAAAGTCTTGCAAACCTTATGAAGTTTTTAACTCTGGATTTTGCCTTGTTTGCCTGTTTCAGGAGAGGCCTTGCTCTGCAGCCTTTGCCTAGCTCAGGTATGTGTGGTGAGCATCAGAGGCTTTCCTCTTTGTGACGTACCAGGGACAGTATGTGGGAGGGGCTGTTTTGGTATAGAACTGAATTCCTGTTAGTCTTTAGGCGTTCTTGCAGCATGCAGTTCATTTTCTCTTTTTGGCGGCATTCAGTTTTCAGGAAAACTTGTTTGTCCGCAGCTGGCACAGATGCAGTTTGTTCTCATGTTAGCACGTCCCCTCCTGCTTCTCTGCCTCCCCAATTCTTCCCTTGTACATGAGGCGCAGGTGAAAACTTCCTTCCTTGGGAAGCCTTGGATTGAACTCTGATTTGCTGTTACGTCCCAGTGATGGTACCTGGACAAATTGGAGATCATTTCCTCCCAACAAACAGGATTAAACCAAAGTTTAGAATCCGGATTGTCATTTTTTGGGTATAACAGCAGGTTGCAAGGGGAGAATTGGGAAGAACAAGCAGCTGCATTTACATCCGTGAATGATAGAGCGTTGATGATGTGGTCTCTCTTTCTGTTTTCATCCATCACAGAGAATTGATTGGAGCTTGTGATAAGGAAGATCTGTCTGTCTCTGTCTGTCTCTGTCTGTCTCTGTCTGTCTCTGTCTGTCTCTCTCTCTCTGTCTGTCTCTGTCTGTCTCTCTCTCTCTGTCTGTCTCTGTCTGTCTCTCTCTCTCTGTCTGTCTCTGTCTGTCTTTCTCTCTCTGTCTGTCTCTGTCTGTCTTTCTCTCTCTGTCTCTCTGTCTTTCTCTCTCTGTCTCTCTGTCTTTCTCTCTCTGTCTCTCTGTCTTTCTCTCTCTGTCTCTCTGTCTTTCTCTCTCTGTCTCTCTGTCTTTCTCTCTCTGTCTCTCTGTCTTTCTCTCTCTGTCTCTCTGTCTTTCTCTCTCTGTCTCTCTGTCTTTCTCTCTCTGTCTCTCTGTCTTTCTCTCTCTGTCTCTCTGTCTTTCTCTCTCTGTCTCTCTGTCTTTCTCTCTCTGTCTCTCTGTCTTTCTCTCTCTGTCTCTCTGTCTTTCTCTCTCTGTCTCTCTGTCTTTCTCTCTCTGTCTCTCTGTCTTTCTCTCTCTGTCTCTCTGTCTTTCTCTCTCTGTCTCTCTGTCTTTCTCTCTCTGTCTCTCTGTCTTTCTCTCTCTGTCTCTCTGTCTTTCTCTCTCTGTCTCTCTGTCTTTCTCTCTCTGTCTCTCTGTCTTTCTCTCTCTGTCTCTCTGTCTTTCTCTCTCTGTCTCTCTGTCTTTCTCTCTCTGTCTCTCTGTCTTTCTCTCTCTGTCTCTCTGTCTTTCTCTCTCTGTCTCTCTGTCTTTCTCTCTCTGTCTCTCTGTCTTTCTCTCTCTGTCTCTCTGTCTTTCTCTCTCTCTCTCTCTCTCTCTCTGTCTCTCTCTCTGTCTCTGTCTCTCTAGTCCTGTGTCCTTTTGGCTTTGTCCTTTTACATGTAGCCTCTGGATCTTTTATTGTGAAGGGTAGAAGTTTCGTGTTCCTCTTGTTTATCACAAAACTCCCTTCTGATTTATCTTTTTGCTTACTTTACAATTCTTTCACCTCATTTGTTATTTCTAAAACATGCTTAGCGAGAGGCCAGTGCAGTTTCAAAAAGCCTGATGTAGGCATGTTTCTGTCTTGTTACTACTTTTAATTGGTCTAGTGATTCCATCTGTTTTATTTCCCATTTAGCTGTAAAATGTGTAAATTTTATGGGCCTCTTGTTCCTGGGCTAAAAACAAATGTCACACAGTGTCTTTTATTAGGACCATGGAAAATGACACAAAACAGTGTGTGAGTTTTCAGGTTCCTCAGAACTCTTCATCAGGTTGGATGTTTTAAAGGGGACAGGGGTAGAGGGGAAACAAAGATGTCTCAGGCCATGATCTTAAGGCCTTGTTTCATAAGTATCCTGTGTGAAGTGTTGAGTAGGTATGCAGATTTTTAAATGGTGCTGGTGTGGTGTCAGCATGCTCCTTTGGCCTTCTGGGAAGAAGGGGGGGGGAAATGGAAGCATTCCTCTCCTTACTCACGTGCCTTTCTTTTTTCCTGTTAAGAGCCATCATCTGTTTCTGAAGTACTGGGAGAAATTAAGCAGGATAAGCTCAGCACCTTAAAACAAAATGTTGAGGATTGCTTCAGTCCATTGGACCCCAGCAATCGGTTGAATTCTGAGGAACTAGCTGTATATCCTGACACCAAATGGCAGGCGGAACGCAAGCAAGACAAGGTCTGTCTTATTGCATTTTCTGTGTTTTGACTGGACAAGCCAAATGAAATTATGGGGCTGGGGAAGGGGGGCTGTGAGCCTTGAGCTTCTGGTTAGTAGCAAGACTTTCTTAGAATTAAAAGCATAATCAAAAAGCAAAGCCAGTAAAGTGTTTATCCTTGAAAAGGAAGTGAGTGCTGGGTTTGGACGTTTTTCAAAGCAGAGAATCTGGTGGGACTTCTGTACCTTCAGCACGGCTCCAATTTGCTCTTTTCTTCTAGTTTATTGAAGAATTGGGGGTGGGGGCAATTATATTGTTTACTGAACCTACTAGGGCATTGATTAAGAATGTATGAATCTGCTGTGCATGGGGAGCAGAAAATAGGTAATAGCTTTCATTTCAGATGCATTGCCGGGACATCTTTACAGTCCCTGCCAAGCTCTTGGTGATTGGTGCAGAAGAGGAGGCAGCACTTTCCAGGTCCTACCCACCAAGTGAGTGCTAGCGGGCTCTTGTTTTTGCAAAGAGATGCAAGGAAGGTTACTCTGATTATGAGTGGAGGTTGAGTTTTTAAAGATCCTTATGCAGAGGCAATTCTTATCATTGCAGATCTATAGAATTTCATAACTGAACGTTATAAGCTTTTATCAACAAGAAATGGCAAAGCCCAGGTATTTTTGAAGCCCTAAGGCTGAGGTTTTGTCATCAAAGAACTCTGTGGCTACAGTCAGCTGCTATCTTTTGGATTCTTGTGTTGATACAGAACAGCACAAAGAACCCTCTTTATTTAGATACATACTGGCTATTTGTATCATTCACTTCTGCAGAACTTATGAACAGAGTTTTGTGGATTCAGTAGTGTGACTGTCATTAAAATGATCACAGAGCTTGTGTGCTCTCTGTTGAGAGTGATGTCTGTAGTTACGTTGAGGTGGTCATGGTAAGTCATCCTCATATATGGCCCCCAGTGTTCTTGTTATATTGACATCTAACATAAATATTCTTGAAACTACAAATTCAAGGTGCTGCAAGATAAATTCTGAAATCAGAACTGGGTAAGCTTCAGCTATATTGCATGATATTCTGTAGTCTCCATAATATATTTGTTACTATTTTTCGTGTTTCCTTCTGTGTAGAATTTGGAATCTGCTTATGCGTAGGTGTCAGGTGATAGGTGAAACCTGCCTCCATATATTGCCGTGCACCCTAGTAACATAAAAACCATATGGGTGCTGGAATGGATGGTGTTGAGAAATATGCTTTTGGAATAACACAGTTTAATCTGATGGAATCGGGACGTTAGATCCCAAGTTACATTCCAGTAAGAGAGTGTCAGGTAATGGTAATCGATGAGCTAGGAAGGAAATTAAAACCCAGACCCAATTTTCTTGTCGGGCTGTCAAATGGTCCTTAATGGATTATTACCTTGGGGAGCTAAACTCCTTTAATTCCAGTTTTTATTTTTTAAAATGTATTTATTTTATTAGATTTGTATCCCGCCTTCCCCTCATAGTATGCTCCGGGCGGGTTCCATCAAATATAATATTTTTGTTGTTCAGTCGCACAGTCGAGTCCGACTCTTCGCGACCCCATGGACCACCATCACACCAGGCCCTCCTGTCTTCCGTCGTGCTCCAGAGTTTGCTTAATTTCATGTTCATTGCATTGATAACACTGTCTAACCCGTAACAGATATAATATACAAACAGTTAAACAATTAACATGTTACAATCAAGAGTCTACTTGGAGGGAAATTTTGAACTGATACCCCAACTTTTCATTGGCCCTGGAAGGGAACTCCAGGCTAAAGAAAAGTCCATAAATAATTTGACCTGGAATGCAGTTGTGTTGAAACTGAAATTGGGAAGACTGGATTGAACTGGATCTTATCCAGATTCTCAGTCTTTGACCCATTTCCAGGAAGGGGAATGTAGTAAGTGTAAGTATGGCTTAGCTAGCAAAATAACCTTTTGTGTTCCTTTGTAGTCGTCTTTCTTAATTCTTCCTGTTTATACATTGTTCCCAGATATCTGTGGTTTCTAGGATTTGTGTGTAAAGTTCATTTATACCCAAGATACTTTGGGTTTGTACTGGAGATTCCTTGGCGGAGAATCCCCCCCCCTCATTTGTCACCAAATGCTGCTCTGTTATGATGATCAGAATTGGCTGGCACAAGCAAGGACAACTTCTATCAGAGAAATAAGATACAGATAAGGATAAGAGAGCCTTCCCCCCTTGCTGTCTGTTATGATGATCAGAATTGGCTGGCACTAGCAAGGACAACTTCTATCAGAGAGAGAAATAAGATACAGATAAGGAGAAGAGAGCCTTCCCCCCTTGCTATCACACAAAACACACATGCGCGTAGTCTTCAGCCTTGCACAGGAGGCCTGTGGAAAAGAGAGGAATCAGGTCCAGTAGGGACAGACCTTCATGATCCCAAAATAATTCCTTTGCTGGTGGCAGCTGGTTCCAAAAATACTCCGGGGAAGAAAGGGAAGATGTTCTAGGTTTCTCTTGGAGGGTGGTAAGTAGGTTAGAGCTTGGGACTTGTATTTGGTAGACTCCGGTTCAAATCTGCACTCTGCCATGGAAGCTTGCTGGATGACCTTGAGCCAGTCACTCTCACACAGCCCAGCCTAGCTCACAGGGTTGTTGCGAAAATAAAAAGGAGGAAATGGGAACAATATACACATGAAACTGCCTTATATGGAATCAAACTGTTGGCCCATCAGAGTCAGTATTGTCTACTCTGACTAGCATTGGCTTTCTGAGGTCTCAAGGTAGGTCTTTCACGTCACCTACTATTTGATCTTTTTAACTGAAAGTGCTGGGGACTGAACTTGGGACCTTTAGTAGAGGCTTTCCCACTGAGCCATGGCCCCTTCTACAAGCCAGTACGGGCCGCCATTGTGGAGAAAGGTGGGGTCTAAATGAAGAAAGCAAAGAAATAGGCTCTTGGCCGACTCGGCGTGCAGGGCTGAATCCCAAGTAGAATGGGGGAAGCAGGGAGGCAAGCAGGTCTGTGTCAGGTGGCTCCTGGGCTTTTCTAGGACTGATACAAAGTTGGAACGTGTTTTTTTCTTACAGAGTCTACTCATGTTGCTTCTGATAGTGAAAGCAGTTCAGAGGAGGATCACAGCACTGTATCATTTGTCAGTGGTGAGCAGCAACGATCATCCTTTGCATTGTGACAGGCAGAGCCATATTCTGGCTTTCCTGCTAAGACCCCCTTCCCCGGAAGCAGGCTGCTTTGGCCAAAACACTATATTTCTGCTTGCGAGTGAGCTTTCGAGGGAGGCAGAGAACAGGCAACCTAAACTGTATTCGATGTCCAACTGTATAAGAACATGAAGTGCACGGTGAGCAGGAAACTGTTTTCAGTGTTACAGCTGACCAAGTGATAAAGCTGACCCATTGGCTAAGATTTTGAATGGTTGCCCCCAACACCCCCTGGCTTGGATGGGATTGGCAGGTAATGGATTTCCCTGCCCGTGCTTCTTACTGTCCCTCTTGAAGATGAGGTAGCAGTCCAACCCTGCTAATTTTTTGTTTCATACCACTTATGGTTAAATCTATCTGGGGACCAGCATGCTGTTTATTCACAAGGTGAAACCTCGTTGTGAGATGAGGGCCTTGGAACACACGGAAAACCCACAGTTGCATGTGTTCCAAGGCAGAATGGGATTTGACAAAACATTTATGATGATGAATGGCTGTGTGTGGTTCCTTCACATGTGGCCAGAGAATCTAGAGAGGATCCTTGGGGGTACCAAGGAGCGTCCCAGAGCAGCAGTGTTTGCTCCCAGTTCAAGGCTATTCCCCGTGTATCAGTAGTTCTTCTTTATCCACTTTGTAAGACTTATGTAGGGACTCGTGACATGCACTTTGCCAGATCAAATTTTCAATGATCATATTGGTAATTTACTCTTCCATTCATGATTTTTGGAGAAGTGCCCCACTTTGGTGTAGCGCAGCAGGATTCCAAAAACTTCTGAGGCCGTGGCTCTGACTCGCTTTGGGTATAGCAGTGGTTTCTTTGAAAGGTGACTCCTAGGATGTTTGTAGTGCCCGTTGCTGTCTCCAAGGCTTCATCTTGCCCTCAGTGTTTTCCTGTACCTTTCTGAGGCCTGGTTGCAGGAAAACCATTTCTTAAACCTTTGATTTTGGCAGCAGAAGCTGAGACTGTTGATGGCTCCTTGGAAAACCCTTGGGACGTATTTCCAGGGATGACTTTGACCTTCTCCAAGGGTGAGTACTTGAAGAGTTGTACTCTTACAGTCTGAGGAAAGGACAATTCCCCCTTTTTTTCTTTGTACGAAGTATGTGTATCCATTGATTATGGTTTTTATTTCACTTCTCCTCCTAGGAGCTCAGGGAAGTGTATACATGGGTTTCCTTTCCTCCTCTTTTATCCTCACAACAACCTGTGAGGTAGGTCAGCCCAGGGCCACCCGGTGTCCTTCATGCCTGAGTGGAGACTTGAATCCCACAACAATGGCGAAGAAGAAGAAGAAGAAGAAGAGGAGATTGGCTTTATACCCCGCCCTTCACTACCCAAAGGTGTCTCAGAGCGGCTTACAAAGTCCTTTCCCTTCCCCTCCCCACAACAGACACCCTATGAGGTGGGTGGGGCTGAGAGAGCTCTTGACAGAAACTGCTCTTTTTCAAGGACAGCCGTGCCAGAGCTTGCGACTGACCCAAGGTCACATCAGCAGGTGCAAGTGGAGGAGTGGGGAATCAGACCCGGTTCTCCCAGATTAGAGTCTGCACACTTAACCACTACACCAAACTGGCTCTCCCAGGCAGTTATTTCTCTTGGTCTTGTGAGCAGGTTACAGTTCTCAGGATAAAGAAATGGCAGAGATTTACTGTATTTTTTCAAGTATAAATAGTATGAATAAAACAATACCTGTGCATTTTAATAACCTTTCAGTTTATTAAAACAAGTGCTTGTGTAATCGCTTTTAGGTGCCTAACCCTTTTATAAGCTCAGGCACTTGTAGCTGCTAAAAGTAAACTCTTATTTTTAAAACAAAACGAGTATGGCTGAAGAAGTTGTATACAAAAACTCTAAGTACGTAAGTAAGAAGGCAGAAAAAGGTATTAAGTATGGGCATGGTCCAATCAAAGGTATGTGCTGTGCTGTAAGTCCTAAATGTGCTTCACTTTGGCTGGTTCATGTCCAGAATTTCAGAAGTGGTCTCTCAGTTTCCTTGGAAAGAGACGTTTGAAAAAAAAGTTTACATTTAATTCACAATAAAGCAACAATGGGCAGAGGCTTCCTCGGTAACATGGCGCTTACTGCTTGCGCTAGACCACATGACAGCTGAAATAGTCTCGTTTTGTTTCAGCCACACTTATTTATTTATTTATAATTTGGATTTCTGAATCGCTTAGTCCCTGAGTACTCAGGGCTCTGAGCGATGAACAGCAATAGCAAAAGCATGTATTCAAACAACAGCAACAACTTAGAAGCTGATTAAAACAATTTATAGTTTACAGTATTCAGATGGCGTTAGTACCTCCAATTACAACTGTGTCCCTGTCTCGTAGGGGGATGAGTGGGAGTGGGGGGAGTAGGAGGGAGGGAGTGCCAGACCAGTGTTCCCTCTAAGCTAAGCTAGTGTGAGCTAGCTCACAGTTTTTTAGCCTCCAGCTCACACATTTTTGTCTTGGCTCAGGAAGGAGGGCTCCAGAGCAAACTAATTTATGCACTAGCCAGATTGCACACTCACAGATTTAATGCCAGTAGCTCACAAAGTAGAATTTTTGCTCTCAAGACTCCACAGCTTAGAGGGAGCATTCCTCAACCAAAGGCCTGGCAGAACATCTCTGCCTTGCAAGCCCTGCGGAACTGCATGAGGTCCCACAGGGCACGGGTGTCATTTGGCAGAGAGTTCCATCTTCCACCAGGAAGGGTATTGAAAACAGATCAGCCAGTATCATAATGCCCCTATATAAATCAATGGTGCGACCTCATTTGGAATACTGTGTGCAGTTCTGGTCACCACACCTTAAAAAGGATATTATAGCTTTGGAAAAAGTGCAGAAAAGGGCAACTCGAATGATAAAAGGGTTGGAACACTTTCCCTATGAGGAAAGGTTAAGGCGCTTAGGGCTCTTTAGCTTGGAGAAACGACGACTGAGGGGTGACATGATTGAGGTTTACAAGATTATGCATGGGAAAGAGCAGGTAGAGAAAGAGGTACTTTTCTCCCTTTCTCACAATACAAGAACTCGTGGGCACTCAATGAAATTGCTGAGCGGTTGGGTTAGAATGGATAAAAGGAAGTACTTCTTCACCCAAAGAGTGATTAACACACGGAATTTACTGCCACAGGAAGTGGTGGCGGCTACAAGCATGGATGGCTTCAAAAGGGAATTAGATAAGCATATGGAGCAGAGGTCCATCGATGCCTATTAGCCACAAGGTATAGATAGGGACTCTGGGGCAAGTGATGCTCTGTCATCTTGGTGCTTGCGGGGGGTCAACAGTGGGAGGGCTTCTAATGTCCTGGCCCCACTGCTGGACCTCCTGATGGCACCTGGTATTTCTGGCCACTGTGTGACACAGAGTGTTGGACTGGATGGGCCTTTGGCCTGATCCAACATTGGCGTCTCTTATGTTCTTAAAAAGCCCCGGCCCTGCTTGAAGTCAGCCAGATGTCTTTTGGGCTGGGGATCACCAGTAAGTTGTTCTCAGCAGAGCATGACGCTCTCTGGGGGACATAGCAGAGGGGGCCGTCCCGCAGGCACGCTGGTCCCAGGCTGCTGAAGGCCTTGAAGGTCAGTACCAGAACCTTGAAGCTGATGGAGCTCGGGTTGAATATGCGCTGTCCGTGGTGTTCCCGTCACGATTGGCAGCACTCTGTTTTGGATCAGCTGGTGCGTCCAGATCAGTCTCAAGGGCAGGCCAGCGTAACGCGAGCTACGGTACTCCAGCCTGGATGGGACTGTTGCGTGGATTACTGCGGCTAGGTCAGGGTGAGACAGGAAAGGGGCCAGCTGGCCACACTTGGCAAAGATGGAAAGATGCCAGCGTGACGATGTTTGTGACCTTGGGCCTCCATAGATAAGGAGGTATCCAGGACCACAGCCAAACTCCTGACAGTCTGTGCCAGTAACAGTGGCCCGCGGTCGAGGGTGGGAAGTTGGCTTCTGTCCACTCCTATTTGGAACTAACACTGGCATTGTGCAGGTCAAAACGTTTTACAGATGCAGTGTGTGGGGGGTGTTTCCCAGTGGGCCACCGTATCCTCAAGCACTGCTTGGCCCCAGCCCTCATCAGCCATGGCAGACTGGGTCAGCTCACCGTTTCCTCCTGCACTGCTTTCAGTTCAGTGGATGATGAAGTGGGTGAGCTAATGGCTGTTGGCCCCACGCAGCTGTGTGGTCCCACAGTGCTGGCTTGTAAACACAGAAGGAGCCACTCAGCTTGACTTACGCCATGGCCGTTTTGATTTTCCAGTCTGCTCCCAGATGTGGCTCACCTGCCCAACCCACTCTTGCCGGGGAATGGCATACACTGTAACTGCAAATAATGTGCTGTTTTGATTGTCTCTGCAAAGACCAGTGTTCTTATTTGGATCTGAGTTTCTTGGGTAAACTTGCTTATTGCACGGCATAACCTGCTGTGTTACTCTGCACATTTGGATGCTTTAAAATAGCTGGTGTATGTTTTGAGTGCTTGCCTTTTTTGTGTGTGGTTTGGCAGGAATGTCAGACACGCAGTCCAGCCTTCCCAATGCACAACAGATGCTCCTGGGTAGTACTGCCGAGGTAGAGGAGGCCGCAGGCTCCAGCAGCTGCACTCCGGATGGCCTGCAGTCTTGTGATCCTGAGCCGCACTGTAGTTCTGCTCAGGTTAAGCCAGCGAAGGTCACCTCCCCGTCGCTGCTTCCTCCTCACAAAGGTGCCAATCAGGAATCTAGATCCAAAGCTCGGAACAGTGCTCGTAATACCAGCATAACACCAGATACTGATGAGAGCATTCCCCTTGGCCAGCCACTGAACAACTCACATTCCCATGCCAGTGTGCATGGCCTTTCTCCTGAGTGCCCCACCATTAGGAATACCTTCCTTCCTAAGACTTCGTCTGGAGCTACGGAAGAAAATCGTCCAGTGCATTTACAAAGGGAGACGGTGGTGTTGAGAGGAGCTGGAGGAAAATACCCAGAGCCCTGCAGGAAATGTGGGGCAGCTAAAAGAAAACAGCTGGTGCCAGATGAGGAGTCTATTGAAACTTCCTCCAGGTTGCTTCGCAGCAGCTGCAAAGCCCAAGACTTGACTCCTGCTACAGTCTTTCCAAAACCCAGTAGCTTAGATAGGAAGCGAGTGGCTCAAAGGCAGCCTTTGAAAGTTGTTACGGAGCGCACGCCCAAGAAAAGCCGGATCGATGAAACCCATGTCCAGCCGCGTCAGGCATCTGCTGGGTCCACATGTGCCAGGAGGCAGCTAGAAAAGCTGAAGGAGCAGACAGCCACTACGAGAAGACTAGCTGGTTCCCGTGGGGGCCAGCCCAGAGCTCAACAGCAGGTAAATCTGGGTGAAGGGCAATTGGTGGTTATTTGCAACAGTCCTTGTTAATTTTGGTTTCTGGCCAGGAGTCTCCTAATGAGGAAGGACCCCTTTAAGCAGTTGCTTGGAAGCGCCCAAGTTGCTTTGCAGTTTTGTATATGTATTCTGCTGTCTCTGCTTCTGTATGCTCTAAAATAGTTGGTACCTGGACAAAAAATGTCGCACGCAGAGCCTAATGGTGGAAAGTGTTGTCAAGTCACAGCCGACTTGAGGCAACCTTGTGGAGTTTTCAAGGCAAGACACTTCAGAGGTGGTTTGCCATTGACTACCTCTACCTAGCTACCCTTGGACTTCTTGGTGCTCTCCAATCCGATGCTAACCAGGGCTGGCACTGTTTAGCTTCTGAGATCTGACGAGCCTGGGCCCTCCTGGTCAAGGTGTGCAGTCTTAACATGCACTATATAGGCTCCCTTTGTATTCAGCCCAGTATAACACAGATGGATCTTTGCATTTCTAACATGTTAACTAATTGCAGTGACACCATTGTAACCCTATTCCCCTCCCACAAGCATTTGGGGAAGCCGTCACCTCAGAACCTGTGAAGTAAAGTGAAGGAGAATCACTATACTGGTGCGACCTCATTTGAAGTACTGCGTACAGTTCTGGTCACCACACCTTAAAAAGGATATTATAGCTTTGGAAAAAGTGCAGAAAAGGGCAACTAGAATGATAATAGGGTTGGAACACTTTCCTTATGAAGAAAGGTTAAAGCGCTTGGGGCTCTTTAGCTGGGAGAAACGACAGCTGAGGGGTGACATGATTGAGGTTTATAAGACTATGCATGGGATAGAGCAGGTAGAGAAAGAGGTACTTTTCTCCCTTTCGCATAATACAAGAACTCGTGGGCACTCCATGAAATTGCTGAGTGGTCAGGTTAGAACAGATAAAAGGAAGTACTTCTTCACCCAAAGAGTGATTAACACATGGAATTCACTGCCACAGGAGGTGGCGGCGGCTACAAGCATGGACGGCTTCAAGAGGGAATTAGATAAACATATGGAGCAGAGGTCCATCAGTGGCTATTAGCTGCAAGGTATAGATAGAAACTCTCAGTCTGGGGCAAGGGATGCCCTGTATTCTTGGTGCTTGGGTGTGTGTGGCAACAGTGGGAGGGCTTCTAGTGTCCTGGCCCCACTGGTGGACCTCCTGATGGCACCTGGTATTTTTGGCCACTGTGTGACAGAGTGTTGGACTAGATGGGCCGTTGGCCTCATCCAACATTGGCTTCTCTTACGTTCTTACTATTTCAAATTCCTCCCGCTTCCCTTTCTCCCTGCTAGGAGCGTGTGAGAAGAGCCATTTCTCATCATGTGTATCAGCCAGCAACAGCTGAGCTCTGCTCCCAAGTACATTCTACAAGGTCAGCATCTTTCTTAACTAGCAGAACTTGAAATGAGGAGGGGCAGAGACAGAGATCTTTAAATGAATGGTCTCCAAAGACACTGCAGGTAAGGGGCACTGTGTCAACTGCTGCTCGACCAGTAGAGAACTAGCTCTGTGAAAGCTGCCCCCCAAGTCCTTATTTACTATTGTACTTTGCCCTCAAATACTAGGGTGAGTAGGGCAGGGGTTCTTCGAGAAAAAACAGTTGGTTCTTTAAAAAAAAAAATCCATCAAAACCTGACCACAATTCCATTGTCTATGGGGAAGATCCTGCACAGAAGTTATAAAACTATGCAAGTCAGCTGAAGACTGTGCTATAGTGATGTATATGATTTCGGCTGTTAAGGTTGCAGAGCGTGAAGCCTTTTAGTACAGGACTGCAAGCTTCCATTTTGTGACTGACATAAGATCTTGCCAATGATCAGAGCCAGAGATAACATGCTGTTTCTGTGCCAAGCTGTTCTTGGAGGTAAACACTCTCAATTTGGCTGCCTGACTCCTTGTGCTTCCAAACAAAATATCAACACGAGGTTCTTGCTGATTGATAGATTTATAGTCCAAAATACAGTAAAAGCAGTCGAAGATGTCCCGGCTATACAAACTTTTACTGCTTTTACTGTATTTTGGACTATAAATCTATCAATCAGCAAGAACCTTGTGTTGATATTTTGTTTGGGAGCAAAAGGGGTCAGACAGCCGAATTGAGAGTGTTCATCTTTAAGAACGACTTGGCAGAGAAACGGCGACTGTTGTTGTTTTTCACTGGAAGTCCTTGCATACTTACTAATGACCAGAGCCAGGCAAGATTGATTTGCTCATCTCCGAGCCTGGCGGTCACACATTTTCACACCCTCTCTGTTTTTAATTTACAGGATCTCGAGAGCACTACTCGGATGGGCACGTTGGGTTTTCAGGAACAGGCAGAAGCTGTAGTCTTGAATCAAGCTTCTTGGGCTGCTAGGGCTAGACGAATACCTACACTTTATTTTCAAGATATTAAATTAATGTTGATCAGTCATGAGACTTGATATTGACTATAATGAAACCTAAGGAAAGAAAATGATTTCATTTCATCGTCTCCTCCAAGGGTTCTGTTACGAAGAGAAGGCAGCTTCCATGGTGGCTGATTGGATAGCATCGCTGTCTATGAGCGCGCACACACACACACACACACACACACACACACCGCTGTTTATGAGCGCGCGCACACACACACACACGGGTTTTAACAAGTTCACCTGAAATAATAGGTAACAAATACAACCCTAGTCAATTTCTAGTTCTATATGTGTTGAATAACAAAAATGTGTAAACATACCCAAAGTTCCTATATCTTATTTCCTATCCAAATAGGGCTTTTTCCTAAAAACAAAACAAAACAAAAAACCACGGCTAGAGCATATCCTGCTTAGAAATCCAGCCTTCCTCCATGGCTTAGCCAACAAAAATCACCTTTTGAGCTTTCAATATGTTTCAGGCAACTTGTTCGTAATGCATATTTTAAAAGTTGTGGCTACAGGCCATATGGTGATATGAATTCCTCCACAAGGTATATAGGACCACAAAATACCAGACGCATACAGTATTTCAAATGAGATATTGTATCTTCTCTGTCCCCAAGGTAAACTTATTCATATTATTAGATTACTTCTCTGCTCTCTACTTAGCACTACGCCCATTCTGTTTTGCTAACACCCAAAATTATTTCTTTGGCCACAGGCTGCAACCTAGCAGCGGTTTCTTTGGGAGAGCAATCCACAACTCTCACTTACCCTGCAGCTAGTCCCATTTATATGATTACAAATCATTCAGTTTCTCTTACCTCTGGGGGGAGGGGCAAATAGCAAGTCCTCCTGGATCCTGAACAGTGCTGTGCAAGTTTAATAATTTTATTCTGGCTTTCAGAGTTGTGTGAGTTTTATCCCATCGAAGGCATTCTGTAAGAGCTGTAGAATATCGGGGAAGCAGCAGCCCTGCCGGTCTTCTTTATTGTCAAGAATATTTTCTTGTACTGACACAAGAGTAGACCTTTAATTGTTTTAATCATCTCCCTGTTTCATTTAAATACAAAATATTTCTTATAGCTTACATGCTTGATAGAACGTTCTGGAGAGTAAAACAAAATTAGAAAAACAACACTGCTCTCATAGAAAATAGACTTGTGTGTACCCTCTTTCCAAAGTTGAACATAATTCAAATGGGGCGGAGACTGAAATTAAATGAAAAGAAATCTGCTCCTCTGCCAAAAACAAACAAACCCATGCCCTTAATGTAAAGAGAATCAGCTATTTGTGCTAGAATACTTTTCTTTTTTTTTACTATACATGCATTAGTCTCCTGGACAATACATAAGAATTCCTCTGGGTGTAAGTGATTTTGTATTTAGAAGTTTGGCAGTTGCAGTATTCTTAGGCCAGACTGATATCCATCTGTGTGAAGAAACAAGTTTCCCACCTGCCTGGGCTGCTCCAAGGCTTGCTCGTAAGCAGGCTGTAAGAGAAAGCCCTCCTCTCTGAACTCTCCGGGGCATAAGGCGGGGAGGAGGAGGATGGGGCTTTATGAGCACAGCAACAGTGATGCAGCCTTCTCCTGTGTCCCTGCTTCTCTAAATGAAAGCGACAGGCTGCTTGAAGGCTGCCTCCAGATATTATGACTTTCCTACATCCAGAGCATCTCTGGGAAAGAACCAGGATTAAATGCGGATATACCTCATCACACACAGTGACTGCGTGCCCTTGAGAGCGTGGCATTGACTTCCAGTACGGCACAGTTAAATGGTGTGTTATTTTCACCATCTAGTTCTCTGCAATGCTCCCGTGTAGGAAACTTTTTAAAATATGTGAAGTAGCCCCTTACTGTAGGAATCATAAAACACCCACAGGTTCCCTTAATGCAGACTGAGGAGGGCGAGCTGTCCCTTATTAAGATGGGGCTTGAAGAATCCATTCAGGATTTGCCAGTGGCAAATCATCTTCACAGCAGAGCAGAAGGGAAGCACCAAGCGTAGCACAACTTCCCCCTGTGCTGAAGTATGTAATCTCCTCTTCCCCTTCCCAGCCCTGACTCCTGTAACAGCAAAGGCACTGTTGGATCTTGTAGACAGAAGGGAAACAAAGACAGCAACTCTGACCACCCCCGTGAATGAGACAGGGACTAGTCTGCTGATTTGAATGAACCATCCTCATTTAATGGTGGGAAGGAGGGGCCGAGGCTCGCTCTTTATTCATTTTACCTTGCTGAAAGCTGCCCAAACACACGCTCACACTCTCTCCTGCCTTTGTCATGCCAGATACCTCGCCGGTGCTACTGGGTGTCCACCTAGAGTGGATGTTTTGTTCCTAGGTGGTACCTAGGCTATAGAGGGATGTGACCGGAGGAAGTAGGGCCCCTAGGAACAGATTATTATTTCCATCCTGAAGGAAGATTGTCACGTGAGACAGATGAGCCAGGCTTTGAGGCCCAGCGGCATCCCTGCTTTTTAGCCTTTACTGCAAGCCACAAGCTGGCCAAGCCCTGCTCTGTCGCCCAAGTACAATGCAAGACTGGCACGTTGAGTGTGTGTGAAATACTTCTCCCACCCTTGCTGGCGGTGGCTCGTTTTCTGGCACTGTTAACATTTTAGCATCGGCACCAGCTCCCGAGTGTACACGTGCTGCTGGAAATGGCCTAACTGGAGGACTTGGCCTTTTTTTTTGGGCTTTTCCCACGTGAGCCGTTAGAACACCGGGCACTTACATGAGAGTATACAAGAGCGAAAGGTGAAGAAAAAGGAGACAGCCCAGAAGACGTGCAAGGGTTGGAACGCCACCGTCCCTCACTGGAAACACCTCTGGCTTTACCCACCAAGGAGCCACCGTGGGGCTTACTTGCCCCCTGTGCTGAGTTGCTCGCACCCTTCCAGCTGCCGCAAGTCATTAGCCTTCATTCTGCACTCCTTTGTCTGAGCTGCCGCCATGCAGGAGCAACCAGCACCAACTCAGTGCTCCTGTGTCGGTGACTTAGGGGGTGGCACAGCAGTTCTTTGGTCTAGGGCTGTATTCTGTGCATTCTCAAGAGTCTGTTCCAGAGCTGGTTGCAACTCTTTGCCTGTGTCATCTTTCGGCATTGACTCAGGGGCTGCCGTGGTCCTTTCCTGGGGTGGAGTGCCTGTAAGAGAATGCAAGAACATTCTATCAACCTAGCATGAGCAGACATTCAGCTCCAAGAAATCGGAATGCCGCACATATTAGCTAGCTAGCATCAGTAACATGCTAAACGCTGCTGTCAAAAAGCAAGAGGAAAACGGTTGTTAGTACAAGATGACTGCAACAGAAATGCCTCTTGTTGAGAACAGTGGTGTTTGAACTTAGCCTGAGGAGCAGAGTTCTTATTGAACGGTGATTTGAATTCACAGCTTTAAAAAAAAAAGATGTTTTGCACACACACACCCTTCTGCCGCCCGTACCTGGGGAGTTGGAGGATGCAGGTGTTTCAGGTTCCAGCAGGGACTTGGGCTTAATTTTCCACTTCAGGATTGGGGAGCGCTGCAGACAAAGAGGGAGTTTCGTGTCTGCGGGGAAATCAAGCCAGGTTAATATGTTAGCAAACAGTGGAGAAAGGCCTGTTGTGACTGGGACAGAAAAGTGAGGCTGGCAATCTAATAATCGCTGAACACCTTGGTGTGGCAGCGGCTGTCCCGCTCCAGGCCACTTGGCAACAATAGACCCCATTTTTAGCTTCGGGGAAGAGGGACTAAAGCCACAAGTTCACAGCAACCTCTACAGCTATGCTACAGGGTTCAAGGTGGCCTTCAGCATTCGACTGTCCCTCAGCTGCAAGTAGAGCTTTTATATTTTCTATCACCTGCCAACTCCATCACAGAAGCTCACAGGATAATGATAATAATTATTGTATGGCACTATGTGTAGTATAGCCAGGAGATCTGAAGATTGTCTGGCAGCTTTAAGTTCTAGCCCTTTAGCGTTATGCACCACTAGGTGGTGAGCCATACTTTTTTGGGGGGTGGGGGCTGAGAGAGCTCCTCATGGGGAGGAGTGTGGAATTGAACTTGGTTCTCCAGATTAGAGTCCATCACTCTTAACCACTACAGCTCACAGGGTAGCCTTGGGCTACTCATTCTCTGTTTAACCTGCTTCACTGGGTTAAACAGGATAAAATGAAGGAGGGGAGAACCATGTTGCAAGCCACTTTGGGTCCCCAGTGAGGCATAAATGCTTCTTCTTTCCCCTTTAAAATGGGAAGCTTATAGAGCTAAACCTATACTGGTACTTTTTGTTAGTGAACAGGACACAGGACTGTGATTGATCTCACGCTGAATGATATTCAGGAGGGGAAAGCAAGTCTGATCTCAAAGTCTGGACTTTGCTCACAGAATCAAGAATGTGTTTTGAGATTATCTGAAAGGCACCCCTTTCTCAGTGTGCTGTGGACCATAAGGTTAGAATCATAGAATCAAAGAGTTGGAAGGGACCTCCAGGCAGTGTTCCCTCTAAGCTGAGTTAGTGTGAGCTAGTTCACAGTTATTTAGCCTGTGGCTCACACATTTTTGTCTTAGCTCAGGAAGGACGGCTCCAGAGCAAACTAATTTATGCAGCAGCCCAATCGCTCGCTCATAACTTTAATGCCAAAAGCTCACAAATAATTTTTGCTCGCAAGCCTCCGCAGCTTAGAGGAAGCATTGCCTCCAGGGTCATCTAGACGAACCCCCTGGACAATGTAGGAAATTCACAAATACCTCCCCACCACCACACCCCCAGTGACCCCTGTTCCATGTCCAGAAGATGTCAAAAAACCTCCAGGATCCCCAGCCAGACGGGCCTGGCTTCTGAGAGACCTGCCTCAGTTGCACCCTCAGTTACACTTTGGCCACATCTTCCCTTCTTCTCACTCAGTCTCTACTTACGGTGCAGCTCCACTGCACTGGCTTGGTCCCTGAGCTGTTCTTCGTGAACAGACATGGCCCTCCGGTTTGCC